GGCGGTGGATCTTCTGGTAGCTGTACTGCAACTTCAATACCGTCGTCACTGTACTCAGTCAGCTCGTCACTGGTGTCCCCATCGAAGATGATGTGATGGCCGTCTGGCACCGTTGCCGGTTCAAATGGTTGCCACTCGTCGTCCGACATGTAATCGAAGAGGCTGTCCTCCTGCCACTGTCCAGATGAGTCGGAGGGGCCCCAATCCTCGGCAACTTGTTCTTGAACCACGGGGCCGTGCTGCACGAAGTACGGCGGGTAGGACGGCTGAAGGAGACCCGTTCCCGGGTGAATGGTCGCAGAGAACATCGGGATGATCCCAGGGACCATTGTCGGTAGCGTCGCCGCTTGAGGCGTCGCCGCCGGGTCCATCACCTCAATAAAGTAGGTAATGGCAGAGATAGGCTCGTTTGGTGCGTGATCGATGTGCGCGTAGTCTGCGTACTCGATAGCTGGATGAGGATTTGAGCCGTAAAGAGCGTCGGAGGCACTGGATCCCTTTCCACTTCCCTTCTGCGGACAATTCCGTATCAAGTGATCCGTGCCCCCACATGCATGACACTTCATTCGCTGACCCTCGCGCCCGATCGGATTCTTCTTACGACCCTTACCCTTACCAATCGTTATCCTACCTCTGCTCTTACCTTTGCCTCCAAAGAACATATATTCATACTGCTCGTCGGTGAGGTCGGCAAGAAATTGACTGATACCCCTACCGTGCAGTCGCCTGTTCCTACGCCCCCCCTTTCCACGACCCTTCCCCTTCCTACGAAACACCTTACGTATGAACCGACGTACCCGGCGTGTAGGTTTCTGCATGTAACGTCGCCATCTGCGTTTGGCATGTTGTAAACTCAAGAACAAACGCTCTGCTGCTAGGTCGTCGGGCATATGCATTACATCTGACATGTCCAGGCCCTCCTGGCCGTCGGATGATTCGGTGTCGGTGTCGGTGCCAGAGTCGTCGGATTGGCCGGCGTCGCTAGCACCCCACAGGGTGGTGTCGTGTTGGGTAGGCGTCGCCGCTGAACGTGTGGCGTCAGCGGTGATAGGTTGTGCCCATTGGCCAGTGGCATGTGCGGTTGGTCCTGGCGGCGGCTGTGAGCTGAGAAGTGCTGTTGTCTCGGTGGAGGTGTCTCCCCAGATGATACCTGCGGGGTCTGGCGCCGTCGCCGGTTCAGCCGCAGTATGGAATGTGAGGTGGGCCGCGTCGCCGCGACCCCGCCCCATCACATGGCCAATGTTGCCAGGTGCGCGCTCGGCCAGGTGGCCGAAGCTGCGCATCCGTTCAAACAGGTCATCCCACTGCTGTTGTGTTCGTGGCATCTGGTGCTGTAGTGGTTGTAAGAGCATGGCCATGCGTGGAGTGCCTACTCCGAGAGCGCGGAAAGGGATGGTAGTGAGTATCTGGAAGTTGGGGATTTGGGATCCCACTGACTCTGCTTCCATCCGTGCTATCTCGAAGCGTGATAGTGACACGTCAATGCGCTCTCCTGTTGGGACTCTGAAGTCGAAGAGTTGCGTGCCTAGTGTCAGGGCACGTTCGTCCTCGAGATTCTCGAATTTGGCAGCGAGGACGAACATGATGTATGTGAGTCCGTCTGTAGGCTGCCCTTGGGTCACCGCCCCGCGCGTGATGATGCGAGGCGGGACCCCCATGGCGATGGTGCGTGCCTGGCCGCCCAGGCCACGCTGTAGAGCAGCTGCCTGCTGAGGCGGTGAGAGCCGCCCGTTGGCTACGTTGAGCCAGGCGTGCACCTCGCGTTGGAAGTCTGAGAATGACACGTTGCTTGCTGGGTCCCAGTAGGGACCTTGCATTCGGCTCGTGTCGTCGTTGTTCCTGTTGCGGTGCATCATGCACCCAACAGCCGTGCACGAAGCAAGACAAGCCCCGAAAATTGTTATTGGTAGAATTCGGTGCACCTTGTTTATGGGAGTTATCTCTTGCTTGTGGTTAGGCTTGTTGGGCAGCGCAGCCGTCGCCGGCTTAGGCCTGGACGGCGTGGTAGTGCTGCCGCTTAAGGGAGTATGGTACAACTGTGCTGCTGCAATGAGGTTCGAGTCCTTCACGTTCGTGAGAGAAAGGTTCTTCTCCTTAACACTCGTGAAAGAAAGGTTGCCGGTCGGTAGCGTTGTCTTCGACATCACATACGTCTTTGACGTCCCCGTGGCATTCCCGGAGCCGTCTCCGGCTGAGTTCTCATTGCTGTACTCTGCTGTACCGCGCAGCGGTGGTGGGTCGCCGTAGTTATACAAAACCAAGAGCAGAGCTAGCAACATAGTCTACCTGCTGCCAGCTCCGCTACCAAGTCGGAAGTAGACGCCAAGGCGAGAAACATAGGAATGAGGAGTAATGGTAAGAGGGGGTGAAGAGGAGGATGGTAGCTGGGGAGCTACCATCTCTTTTCTCTCCACGAAAAATACAGTTCGGTGAACTGTAAGCATATGATGGAGCTGCGCAGCTTGGGCCAAACGGCAACGCCCCCCTCCCCGCCCCCCACTTGGCCCCGACACCCCCCTGCTCATGGGCTCTGTTCTTGGGACCCCCGACCCCGCGATGTCTCGCCCAAAATCGACCAGCGCCCCCCTCCCCGCCCCCCACTGGGTCCCGACACCCCCCTGCTCATGGGCTCTGTTCTTGGGACCCCCGACCCCGCGATTTCTCGCCCAAAATCAGCCAACGCCCCCCTCCCCGCCCCCCGCTTGGCCCCGACACCCCCCTGCTCATGGGCTCTGTTCTTGGAACCCCCGACCCCGCGAATCCTCGCCCAAAATCGACCAGCGCCCCCCTCCCCGCCCGCCACTTGGCCCCGACACCCCCCTGCTCATGGGCTCCGTTCTTGGGACCCCCGACCCCGCGATTTCTCGCCCAAAATCGACCACGCCCCCTCCCGCCCCCCCCCCCCCCCCCACCCCCCCACACACACTTGGTCCCGACACCCCCAAGCCCATGCGCTCTCTTCTTGGGACCCCCGACCCCACGATTTCTCGCCCAAAATCGGCCAACGCCCCCCTCCCCACCCCCCACTTGGTCCCGACACCCCCCTGCTCATGGGCTCTATTCTTGGGACCCCCGACCCCGCGATTTCTCGCCCAAAATCGACCAACGCCCCCCTCCCCGCCCCCCACTTGGTCCCGACACACCTTTGCTCATGGGCTCTGTTCTTGGGACCCCCGCCCCCGCGATTTCTCGCCCAAAATCGACCAACGCCGCCCTCCCCGTCCCCCGCTTGGCCCCGACACCCCCCTGCTCATGGGCTCTGTTCTTGGGACCCCCGACCCCGCGATTTCTCGCCCAAAATCGACCAACGCCCTCCTCCCCGCCCCCCACTTCGTCCCGACACCCCCTTGCTCATGGGCTCTGTTCTTGGGACCCCCGACCCCGCGATTTCTCGCCCAAAATCGACCAACGCCCCCCTCCCCGCCCCCCACTTGGCCCCGACACCCCCCTGCTCATGTGCTCTGTTCTTGGGACCCCCGACCCCGCGATTTCTCGCCCAAAATCGACCAACGCCCCCCTCCCCGCCCCCCACTTGGTCCCGACAACTCGCCTTGCTCCTGCTCTGTTCCTTGGACCCCCGACCCCACAATTCTTCTTCCAAAAAACACCACCAACCCTAATGAACACGCCCCCCCCCCCCCCCTCCCCGCTCCCCACTTGGCCCCGACACCCCCAAGCTTCTGGGCTTCTTGGGACCCCCGACCCGACGATTTTTCGCCCAAAAACAACCAACGCCCCCCTCCCCGCCCCCCACTTGGCCCCGACACCTCCACGCCTCTGGGCTCTCTTCTTGGCACCCCCGACCCCACGACTTCCGTCCAAAAGCGACCAACGCCCCTCTCCGCGCCCCTCACTTGGTCCCGACACCCGCAGGCCTCTGGGTTCTGTTCTTGGAACCCCCCACCCCGCAATATTTCGCCCAAAAACGACCAACGCCCCCCGCCTCGCCTCCCACTTAGTCCTGACACCCCCAGTCCTCTGGGCTCTGTTCTTGGGACCCCCGACCCCGTGATTTTTCGCCCAACAACGACCAACGCCCCCCTCCCGCGCTCCCCGCTTGGCCCCGACACCCCCAAGCTCATGGGCTCTGTTCTTGGGACTTCCGACTCCTACGACTTCTCGCCCGAAATCGACCAGCGCCCCCCTCCCCGCCCTCCACCTGGCCCCGGCGCCACCAAGCCCATGGGCTCTGTTCTTGAGCCCCCGACCCTACGATTTCTCGCCCAAACACGACCAACGCCCCGCTCCCCGCCCCCCACTTGGCCCCGACACCCCCAGGCCCATGGGCTCTGTTCTTGGGACCCCCGACCCCGCGATTTCTCGCCCCAAATCGACCAACGCCCCCCTCCCCGCCCCCCACTTGGTCCCAACACCCCCAAGCCTCTGGCTGGTGTTCTTGGGACCCCCGACCCCAGAAATCCCCCCCCCCCCTTCCCCAAAACACGTCCTACGTCCTTTTCCCCGCGCCTCACTTGGCCCCGACACCTCCAGGCCTCTGGGCTCTGTTCTTGGGACCCCCGACTCCACGATTCCCCTGCCAACATCGACAGATACCCCGCACCTGGCCCCCACCTGGCTCCCACCTGGCCACCACCTCCTTCCGACCCCCGACCCCACGATTTCTCGCCCAAGAACGACCAACGCCCACCTCCACGCCCCCCCTTCCCCCCCCCCACCTCGCCCCGGCACTCTCCCACGGAGCCTTTGTTTTTAAGACCCACGACGCCACGATTTCTCGGCTTGGCTCTGGGCATTTGCGTGTGCAGGTCAGCCATTTGTGTTTGCAGCATGGCTCCAAGGGCATTTGTGTCTGCAGCTTCGCTCTCGGCATGTGTGTGCAGCCTGGGTCCGGGCATTCGTGGGCCGTCCGTTTAGCCGATCCACATGTTGAGGCTATCACGGTTCTCAATATTCGGCAGCATGCCTCTAATACTCTCTCCGCGACTGGGTTCACGACTACGACGAGCATTCGTCGTTGCTCTTTTCGGAATCGGAGGCACCTATCCAGCCTTATGCTTTTTCGTTACCGACGCATGGGTCCGCTCGGCGACTTCCTTCCGTTTGCGCTCTTGGCCAGCACAACATATGTTGCACCTCTGCTTCCCATTCGCCTTCTGCGTCGATCGTCCAGCCAACCAGTTGCTGTAGTGCTCCCTCCCGAAAGCGCCCTTACATTCTACACATGTCCACTTCCCTCGCTCCAGCTTTGCGCCATCGATGCAGCGCTTGCACTTGCGGTGCTGGTCTCCCGCGCACTCCCACATCCAATTCGAAAAGTATTCACGCCGCTGCGCTACCTCGCACACCACGCAGGCCCTCACGTCGTTCCTCGCATCTGTGTTCCGCTGTGCAGCCCCAGCGTTGACGCAGCGCATGCATTTGCGGTCACGATCGGCCACTCCATTCCGCATTTTTTGCGAGAAGAAATCACGCCGTTGCGCCACCTCGCACACACCACAGGCCTTCACGTCTTTCCTCGCCGCCGAGTCCCGTTGGGCGGCCGCATCCTGGACGCACTGGGTACATGCAATGGTCTCTTTGGAGGCGATGCACCACGTGTGAGCGGAAAACTCCGCCTTACTCTTCGACTCCCCACATTTCGAGCATACCCTCCGTTTCCCTTCCTCGGCGCGCTGTCTTTCTTCCTCTCTCATTGATTTCTTACACGCTTTGCACTTCCGCTCCTCTGCGTTCCTCTCAATCCTCGCAAAATCGTCCACCAACTTCTCCATGCCGCAGCGGGAACACGTCAGGTGCGTCTTCAGCTCCTCGCACTCTTTGCACATCCCCCCTCTGCACCGGCTGTTCCCTGCAAGGTCCCACTGGTACGGCGCGAACGCTTCTTCGTACTTCCGACCATCACACGCGCGGCAACTCCGTCTCTCGGGGCAGTCCACGCAACGCCGCGTGGTCAACTTCGACGGGTGGTGCTGTGACGCGTGGAACGCCTCCTGGCACTTCCATAGACCACACTCCATGCATTGCCACGGCGTGCCGGACCTCTTCTTATCTTCCAGGCACACGCTGCGCACGCGGAGCCCATCTGCGCGGCTCCACTGCCCGACCGTTGGGTACATGTTCTTGTGCTTCGTGCACCCGCAGACCGCGCACCTGCCAGACGGCATGAACTCCAGCTCTATCGCCTCCCAGTCCAAGTCTTCTCCGCGCAACGTGCGCAGCAACAAGCCTGGGCCCTTCCGTTCGCCCTTCTTCTGATACGGCGCAATGTCGAAGGGGCGAAAGATGAGCATGTCCTCACGGCGCTGCACCCGCGTCAGTGCCACGTAGCTCGACAGAGGTGACGTGCCCCCGCCGATGCTCAGGTCCACTATGACACCCTCCTTAAAAGTTTGCCCCTGCGCCGCATGGGCCGTCACGCCGAAGGCTGGGGCCAGCGGGAACTGACGCCTTTTCACCTTCAGCCGCGGGCGCGGACGACCTTTGTCCACGAACCACTCCTTCTTTTGCGGAACCACCGGGTGCAAGCCAGGCGTCCTCAATCCCCCGATCGTCCACTTGCACGGCTTCCGACCGCCCTTTCCGTCGTCGCCTTCATCGAACAATACAAAAATCACTTTCGGGGTTTTCTTCAGAATGGTCTCACCCCCCCGCGTGACCTGATCGTGCTCTGCGTCCCCGTCGCAAACCCAAGACTGAACGCGGCCGACGCGACCGCGCAGGAGGTTCTTGTCCTCGCTGCGATCGATGTGATCAGTCAGAGCGACTGGCATGCCCTCTGCGATGGGCAAGAAGCCGTACAGGTCTCCGCTCTCCTTGTCGTGTCGTTGGAGCCATGCCATTTTCTGCTGCGGCAGATCTGGTCGCTCGCGGAGCGCCTCCGGCGTCGGCGTATCCCGCGCAGGGATGTACACCATCGGCTTCCCGTGCCTGCGCGCGTACTGCGACGCTCGGAGCTTGTTGGCTTCATACTTCACGTCGTTGTTCGGAAACACGCCCGGGGCAATGAGGAACTTCTCCGACTGCAAACGCGGGTCGTCCGGGCCATCCACCACCAGACGGCGCCGCGCACGTTCCCTTCTACACACCTGACACTCCTGTTGGCGGATCTCTTTCGTCGTTGTCGTGCGTCTTCGACGTTGACCTGCTGCACCCGCCACTTCACCTTGCGCGCCGTCGCACAACTTCCGGCATGCCCGATTGCGGCAACCCACGTCTCCGTGCAGCCAGCTCCCCGTCACAGTGTCCTTGCCGTGCAAGAACGCGTGCGCGTTCGCCGACAGCACCCCTGCACGGAATTCTTCCTGCACCTCCTTCAGCCAGGCGTCGTCGCACCGCTCGCACTCCTCCAGCTCGGTCACGCCCTGCACGCCGCACTCGGCCCCACCCCAAAGTAGAGATTGACCATGAAGCACAGGTGGCAGGGATGTGTACTTGCGCGCCGCCGAGATGCGTTCGGTGGGGACGTCCGCAAGGAAGCCTCCGTCGGGGGGGGCCAGTTGCCAAAAGTCACCACTCAGCACGACGTTCAAACCGCCGAACGGGCGCGGCACGCCTCCGTCTCCGCGCTTCGTGGTGCCCACATCCCGGATGACCCCTCGCAGTTTCGCGTCGACTTCTGCCAGGAGCCTGGCGCTCACCATGCTGATTTCGTCGATGAACAACCACCGCCACTGGAGCACGCGTTTAGCAGTCTCGTACTGCAACTTCACATCTTCCCCCTTCTCTTCTCCACGCTTGATAGCTGGTATGCCGCACGCATGGTGGATGGTGTCCCCTCCTAGCAACTGCGCCATGACGGCTTGCAGGGCGGTGATTTGAAAGTTCACCCCGATACTCCACTTCATCAACCCCTCGAACAGCTCGTGGCGAAGGATGCGCAACACGTGTGATTTGCCCGTTCCAGGGCCCCCGTGCATGCACCACTGCAGAGGGTCCCCCATGGCCGTTTCATCCATTCCCTCGCCATCGATCTCCTGCATCACTCGGCGCGCCACCTTCTTCACCATCTCGAACTGCTTCGCGTTCACTGCGCGCCGCCCCGTGTCCTTGTCCACCCGGAACTCAAGGTCCGCGAGCCATCTCGCCACGTCTTCCGACGTGGCCGCCGCGCCCGCGACAACGACTCCCCCCTCGGCGTCTGCCACCCTGTCGGCCATCGAACACTCTTTATTTCGAGACTTCCGCGCTTCTCGCAGCACCATCTCCAGGTCACAAGCCTGCTCTGCTGGCCACGAGCCTGTTACCTCGCTGAGCGGCGTTTCGCCGTCCCGAAGACCCCGCGCCTGCTGCGCTACCTCCACGCCCCCTTTTGAATTGTCGTAGCGCGACGTGCCTCCAGCTCCCTGGCCAGCGTCTGCATCCTCCTCCCCGCTGGTGCTGTCTCCGTCCCCGTCCTTTCGTCGCTTCCCGCCCACGCGCGACTTCAGCGCCTCGTCGAGCTGCTCGAAGCCCACGTCTAATTCAACATCGCCCACGTCTTCGTCGCTCCGCTCTTCTTCTTCGCCAGCATCGCGTGGCCGGACGCGATGCACACTCAGGAAGTTCCCCACGTACCGCGCGGCCTCCTTCGTCTGCACTCCGCCATCCAGCCACGCCGCCATGGCTGCATCCCACGTCGACGCTTCACCGCGCAGGTTCCCTGCGAACACCACGTGTTCGTCCGCCACGTCGGGCCTCAGAGTCCACGGGTGGAAGTACGTCATGACAATGCGCGCCGACCTCTCCGCTTCCCCTGGACGTCCGCGCGGCACGGGCGCTCCGAAAAAGGTTGGTGCCATGGGCCTTTTATTCCGCTTGAGAACCCACGCGTGGCGAATGTGGGCGCACCCTTCGGTGTCTGGATACGGAACCCAATCGTTGCCTCCGTCATCCTTCACCGCGTAGTCAACCCCGGGCACCAAATCCTCCTCCAGACACACGTCCCCTCGCCTCTCACGCAGTTTGTCCTTGCCCAACTGCGTCAAGACTGCATGATGGCGTGGGTGTTCTGCATCCGCGACTCGCGTCGGGTACGACAGCAACACCGGCGTCCAGTACGTTGCGAACTCATATGGGGATAAATGCCACACGTCGGACCTCTTCGGCCGCAGCCCATACAACATGCCCACATCTCGAACAGTCACCTTCCGGCGTCTCTTCTGCCGCATGTCCACCTCGGCAAATTGCGCTCTGCGACCTCCTGCCGCACGGTCTGCCAAGCGCTCGACCAAGTCAACGTACTCGCGGCCGTAAAAGGCTGTCGTCTCGCACGACTTCAATGACTCCGCAGCAGTCACGTCGCCCTCTCGCGCGAAGGCCCTCAGGTTTGCACATTCGACTTGTCCTCGCACAATGCCCTTGCCGTAAGCATCGCTCAGAATCCGGTTCGCTACCCGCTTACCGATCCGATTCACGTTCTCGCCCTGAATATGCCTGCCCAGCTTCTCGACTCCCTTGCAACACTCTTTCACCTCGTGGAAAGCCATGGGCTGCCGCTTCGTACAGTAGTCGCAGGCGTATCCTGCCTGTGCGTCTTGCGCCACCTGCGCAGCCCTGATGATCGCTGCATCGTCGAGCTTCCTGTCGCAAGCTTTCCGGCACGTGCAACATACCCCTGTGATGGGGAACCGATACGGCAGCTGCACGTCCGAATTGAACCGCTGCGCAGACAACATGCACGGATGCGTGCCGTTCAGGCTTGCGTGATTCATCGGCCCGTGGAGGCTTCCAACTCGATTCCGACGCCCTGCCTTCGGTATGTCCAACGCCACCGCCTGCCCCGGACACACGACGATAGCGCGGCCTATGATTTGCGCCGTGCGCGGGAAATCCGATTTACACAACTTCGGGTTGTCCTTTCGACGGCACGCTGGTAAAGGTACTCGCTCCCCAGTCTCTTCGTTCTTCAGATGGACGTGGTTCTGCTTTCTTTCCTGTAAGTACTGTACGTCCTCGTCGAGATACGCTTTCTCCCATGCCACAGCGTCCTGCCGAGCCTGCGTCTGCGATGCTTCTGGATGCAGCGTGCGCGTCTGAAACGCGGGCCTGCCTAAGAGCCCATCCTCGACTTTAAACTCCGGCCACGCCTTCTCGGCCTCCTCCAGCCTCCGATCGATTTCCGTCGTCGACACCTGCTCTGAATAAACCTGCCGACAAACGCGGCTCTTATACTCCAAATACCCCTCCATGATCTTCTTCCCGCGGTCGTGCACGTCCTGACGGACGATTTTGAACACCTGCTCGAGCGGAGTGTGTTGGTGGAGGCACTGTATGAATACCTGGCAGTGCGCGTGCAGAGATCCCGAGGTTTTCTGCGCTTCGATGGACACGTAGTAGGCATCAACGCGCCCGAAGGCGCCCCCGCCGGGCATCGCGTTACTTCCGAACAGGTCTTGACAATGGATGCCATCCTGTGCGTGATTGCATCGCGGGCAGTTCGGGCAAGTCCGCAGACCGAAGAGGTGCCGGAGCGTCGCGTCCACTATGATGCGGAAGCCGTCGACGCTAGCCATGGGATCACGCGCGAGTAGGCGTCTGCGCTCGGCCCACGACGGCACTCCTGCCCGTGCTGCATCCATCGGAAGACCGAGGCGAGCCTCGTCGACGTCGGGGGCTACGCGCGGCCACTCCCGATCCCCCGCCACTCGTGACTGCGCCTGATCTTCTGCTGCCGCGCGCACGGGGTCCTGTCTTCGCGTGCGCGACAGGCGGAGCATGAGCAGATTGTGGCCTTCGTCGGGCGAAAAAGTTACGAAGATTGGAACGCCATACCGGACTCGAAGAGCGTTCGTCTCAAACCGCATTACACGACGAGCTTCCTGTGTACCTGGCAAGCGCCGCGACGTGTGCTCAATGTGTGTGAGGAGCTTGTGTGCGGCTTTCCCCAGATTTGGCACGTGCCGAACTTTCGTCATGTCGCCCTTGACCTTCTGCTTTCTGCCGTTGATGTCCACGTACTTCATGTCTAGCGCGCGGTAAATCTGTTTGGCGCCTTCGCCGATCTGCTCAGGCGTCAGCTGTTCCACCTCGCCCGTGGCGCTCGGTGCCACGTACGTGAACCACGTCCTGCCCAGGTTCACCGCCGAGCGGAACACGAGGTTCCAAGACACGAGCCCGAAATGCCAATCGCGACACAACTGGCTCTCGACGCGACGACTCATAATCCGCACCCACAGTGGCAGCTCTACACGCGGCGCCCCATTCCCCCTGCGATGACGCGGACGCTTCATGAACTCAGGGCCATCTGGCATCCCCGTGCAGTACTTGAACAAAAACGCGAACGCGACGCCAAAGTACCAGGGCTCGAACTGATCCATCATAACGTTTCCCGTGCGCACGCGAAGGCGGTCCACGCGCTTCCCCTCGGTCGTCGCCTGCTCCAGCATGACGCGCTCCGCCGCCTCCCGCGACGTCTGCTCCGCCCCCGGGCCCGCCCCTTCGCGGACGCGAACGCGTTTACGCGCCCGTTCCGTCGTCCCGTCGCCGCCCTCTTCTTCGCTGGAATCCGACGTCCCGTTCGCATCGCCGTGCGCGCGCTCCTCATCCAGCCGTTGCACGAAGGTTCGCACGGCCTCGATCCGCTGCGCATTGATATCTCCCTCGTCGAAGCTGCTCTTCTCACATACCACGGCGTTCGTCTTCGTGCTCTCCAAAATATCTGCCGCCTCCCTTACTCCGTCGGGCCTCGGAACGGGCGTCGCGGCCTTCTGCATCTGGATCTTGTCCAGGGCATCATCCAGGGGTACCAGGCGCATGATCTCCGGGGGCACGCCTTCCTCTGGCAGTTCCATTGCCCTCTTCCGAACCTCCTCCATGTCCACGTGTCGGTGCGCGCGATGCCCCCGCGCTTTCGCTCCCTGAATCAGATCCACGACCACCTTCCTACGCACCAACGCCTGGTGCACGAACTTGGCCAGGCTTGCAGCCGTATCGTCGTCGCCGCCAGACTTCAGTATCACAGACACGATCCCAGCCAGCTCCGCACCTGTGCGCGGCACCGGCGGCGCGCGCCTCTCCGCGGCAGTTGCGTCCGCTGCGCTCAACTGTGCTAGCAGATCCGCCCACGGCATCGGGAACGAAGTGGCGTTTCCGCGCGCCGCCATGCGGACCTCGTTGCCGCCCGCTTCCATGTCGAAATCCCGATCCTTCCGGTACCGCTTCTCCAGCGTAAAACACACCATCGACGTTATGCACACTGACGCGCAAATCATTTCCAATACCGTAACCTTGGCGCCGAACACCTCTTCTGGCGAATAAAAGGCCATCATGTCATTGGCCAGCGACGCAGGAGGGAGCGCCGCTTCGCCATGGGGCCCGGCCATCGCGTTCCCGCACTCCCCGCACAACGGGGCTTCACAACCGGTGCATGCACTATTCACGGCGTGCGTCGTGGGCCCGTCTCCTGATGGCACGCACACGTGCCAATCCTCGAACTCGTCCATGCGGTCTCGAAGGTGCACGCCACTGCTCCCCTCCCCAGCGCCATCTACTTCGCCGAACCGCTCCAGGTACGAGTCCACCGTCATGTTGTCTCTCACGAACGCGTCGGGGAGACCGAAAAATCCGCCCCCGCTGGCCGTCGCCGCGCGCCATTCAATCGGGTTCCCCTTTCGGCCCTCCAGGCGGGGGAACTTCCGCGCGCGCACCATGCAAACGAGAGATTGAACGGCGTCCTCTCCCAGACTTCGCGCATACTCGCGTAGGCATCGACGATCGATCGCCAGTGAAGCGAGAGGCGCCCCCTCGCGCACTTTCCAGGCGATCGCCTCGTAGTACGCTGACCAGCACTGCGTCTCACTCCGTTTGGCTTCGTCTTCGTCATGGCACGCGAGCGTCTCCGCGACATGCCGCAACGCCTCGCGATGTTCGCCCAGCACATGTGCGCGCAGCTCCGCTTCGCTGGATCCCCGCCACCCGCACCCTCGAAAAGCGCAATGTGCACGCGGCAGCTCCACGGCACCACGGGAGAAGATGCACTCGCCTTCCAGCGTTTCTCCGTGCACAGAGACCGATGGCACGGTGGGGTGGTCTTTCATGAGACCTGCCGCCTTCGTGAGCCCTTCCTCCCTACCCCCCCGGCTCACGTCCGCGGACACGTGCCCGTTGTCGACTGCGCGAACGCGGTACACGTGCGCCGCGCCCGATCTCTCGGCTGCGTCGGCGTTCACAGCCCGGCCTTCGCTCCTCTCCGCGCCGCTCTGACCCGCCTGACTACCCATGCCGCCCACCGCCAGACTCGGGGCCCGCGCAGTCCTTGAGTCGGGCACCTCCTTCAGGTCTCCGGCCTGTCCGGGCGAAACTGCTCTAGCGCTGGCGCTCTCCCAAGTTGCAGACCCATCGGACATCTAAGGACGATGACCCGTATAATGGGTACTGGAACGCTCGCGTGCATTTGCGGGCGCTCAAGCCAGCGTCGCTGCGGCGAAACGCATCGGTAACATTCAGCATGCTCCCGCTCCCAGATAAAGGCAGGCTCCTCGATCAGTTGTCTGCCAGCGTCGACGCGGATAGTGTTCAGAAGGCGCGTGCAAAACTGTCGCACTCTGGAAAGTGGGAAAAATTCCAATGAGACTGTGCCTCGGCACGGGGAAACAATACCAAGCCCCGGACGAAGGCCCCGCCCGTGACGAGCCTGACTGGATATCGCTTGCGACCCGTGCTGCCCGAAACGGGCAGGCCGCCAAGGCAGCCGTGGCGTGGTCCAACTACTACCAGACCTGCTACATGAGGCGGTACCGTAGCTGCGGCAAGGATGGACTGGCGTACAAGAGCCTCGAGCTTGCCGACGCTGCAGATGGGCGGGTCTGCGCGTGCTGCAAGAACTACGGCCGCCCAGATAAGGGGCACGACGTCGTGCATCCCTGCGGGCCGGGGCGGGCCCCCCAAACTCCAGAGCAGCTTGTGTCTAGGATTCCTGAGGGCAGCGGCCGCCTGCTGAAGTGCGCGCGGTGCGGCTACGGCACGCTGAGGTACGGCCAAGGATCCTGCCGGCGTGTCCGGCGGTTTTGCGTTGTCTGCCACTCGAAGCAGTTGCCGAAATTCAAGAAGTGCTCGTGCTGCGGCGCCTGAGCGTTGCCATTCGAGGCTGCCGTGGGCGCCCGTCAAAAAAACATCATCATCATCCTCACCATCGTCGAAAAAATAATTCATCATCACATTCATCGTCGAAAGAGGCTCACGAGGGCTTCTGCGAGGCCTCTGATAGCCTCTGCGAGCCCACTCAGAGTTTCTGCTGGGCTTCTGGAAGCCTCTACGAGGCCTCCGAGAGCCTCTGACAGGCTATTGAAAGCTTGTGAGAGGTTCTGAAGAGCGTCTCGCAAGCTTTTGAAAGCTTCTGAGCGACTCTGATGCTCTTGGGGAGCTTTTGAGAAACTCCTGGGAGCGCCTGGGAGGAACGCTGAATTGGTGAACAGATGGGAGCCTCTAGGCAAAGCCTGGGAGATGCCATAGATGTCGAGAACCCAAGACCAAGGAACCATGTAATCAAGACCAAGGAACCCGAGACACCGATACCAAGGAGCTCCACGACCAAGCACAAGGACCCCGAGATACCAACACCGAGGAACCCAGGTCCAGTACCGAGGAACCCAAGTCCAAATGCCCCAAGACGGCTCAAGAGGCCCCCAAGACGGCCCCAAGACGACATCGACGACGAAGACGATACGGTTTTCCTGCATGCGTCGATCGCGCAGTTGGCGAAGCCCACAAGACGAACTGGGGGGAGCGCGCGCGCGAGCTGCCTACTGCTTGCGCGAACCGAAATGTTGCCGTGGCCCCTAAGCCAGGCCGCGAGCGCCTGCTCGGCCGTGGCCTCATTAGCCTCGAGAAATTCAGCGCTCGACCTGCGCAGGTTGGTCCAGCCATCCTGGGCGTAGCGCAACGTCCCGTGATGGTGCGCGGAGGAAGGCCACGCGCACGCGCGACGCCATCTCCAAGGGCAGAGAGCTCGCATGGGGAGCTCGTCTGCTTCTGAATGGCAGCGCCCGTAAACTGGGACACCGCCGCAGAGGCTTCCTAACTCGAAAGATCTTCCTCTGGACCACGAACCGTGTGAGGGGTGTGCCGACGTGGGGCGGTAGTGCCATGGCCAGATACTCCACTGCCAGACACCCCACTTCATGGCCAGAGCACGCACCGACTGGCCGCCTTGCGGTGCGGGTGCGCGTCCACCAAGCCCTGGCGTTGCTCGTGCCATCTGCGGGGGCCACAGACTGAGTGCAAAAGTTCGTGACTTGCTGGTCGTCGGCGTCCTTCGTGATCGCGCAGAGTTCCTGGACGACGACGCAACAAAAACCCACGACGACGACGTCGACGACGAAGACGATAAGGCCCTCCTGCGTACGTCGAAAAACAAATAAAACGGGCGTGACAACCTGCGAGAAATCGTACGGCCTTGCCTTGTTGTCGAAGCCAGAGCAATGGCCGCGTCTGCGGGAAGCGCACTCCTACGAAGTCAGGTTCCCTCCCAAACAAGTCCCCTGACCCAGCGGCCCGACTGGGCCGCAGCCAGTGCCCTGGGAATGCCTTGGGTCCCCCTCCGCAGAGGTGCCCACCATGGTCAAAAAACTGAGAGGTTGCTATTCGTGTTTGCTTCTTGGCTAAGCCAGGTCCCCTCCCAACAGGTCCCCTGACCCCGCGACCCGATTGAGCCGCAGTCAGTGCCCTGGGAGTGCCTTGGGTCCCCCTTCCGCAGAAGTGCCCACCATGGACAAATAAGGGAAGGGGGAAGGCGAGGCTTCGAATGTCGCCGAAGCCGCAGAGAACATCACGTCAAGGCCCACACAAGTAACCGAAACAATAACAAACACTGGCAACGACACTGGCGCCGAAAAGAGAACCAACAAAAAACCTAACACGGAACATAAAACGGAAAGCTGCGCAGAAACCAAAAGGGAAACACGACGACGACGGCGACAACCAAAAACGACGACGAGTCCTCCAACGATACCTCGGACAGAGCGCCAAGGCCGACACCATTAACCAAAGAGACGGCCGAAACAGAATCCAAAACGGAAATCGAAACAGAAACCAACACGACAACCGACACGGAAACCGAAATTGCAACCGAAGCGGGAACCGAAGCGGAAACTAACGCGGAAACCAAACCAAAAACTGACGACCAACAAAAAATCCAACACGGAAACATACAACGGAAACCGACGCGGAAACCGAAACGGAAACACGACGACGACGATGACGACGGCCAAAAACGACGACGAACCCTTCAATGACACCTCGGATATAACGCCAAAGCCGACACGACTAACCGAAGAGGCGGCCGAAACGGGAATCGAAACGGACGCCGAACCAGAGACCGATACGACAACCGACACGGAGCTCGAATCCGAGCGGAAACTAACGCGGAAGCAAAAACGGAAATCGACGCAACCGCCGACACGCATTAAAAAAACGCGCTGCAGGATCGAACAACCATTAAAATGTGCATGGGTCCACTTCCTCCTGCTCCATTTCTCCTGCTCCCCCTCCGCCTCCTTCCTCCTCCCTCCTCCTCCTCCCTCATCCCCCTCCTCCTCCCTCTCTTTCCTCTCCAACCGACGACGACGACGACGACGACGACGACGACGACGACGACGACGACGACGACGACGACGACGACAGCCCCCTCGAGCGCCCCCCCAGGACCCCCCTCCTCCCTCCTCCCTCCTCCCTTCTCCATCCGTCCACCCCCTTCCCCCCTCCTCCCCCTCCTCCTCCTCCTCCTCCTCCTCCTCCTCCTCCGCCTCCTCCTCCTCCTTCTCCTCCTCCTCCTCCTCGTCCTCATCTTCCTCATCTTGCTCTTCCCTCTCCTCCTACTCGTCCTCCTCCTCCTCCTCTTCCTCCTCATCCTCCTCCTCCTCTCCTCCTCCTCCTCCCTCCTCCTCCTCCTCCTCCCCCCTCCCTCCTCATCTCCTGCTCCTCTCCTCCTCCCTTCTCCTCTTCCTCTCCTCCTCCTCCTCCTCCTCCTCCTCCTGCTCCTCCTCATCCTGCTCCTCATCCTCCCTCCGCTGCTCCCTCCCTTACTCCTCCTCCTCGTGCTCCTCCTGCTCCGTCTCCGCCTACTCCTCCTGCGACGTCTCCGGCTCTCCGTTATAATTCTGCTCCTCCGCCTCCTCCTCCTCCTCCTCTTCCTCCTCATCCTCTTCCTCCTGTTCCTCCTCCTACTGGTCCTCCTGCTCCTGGGATCTGCACGTTGATGACATCATCTTCGTATTTTCAAACAAATATATGTTACTTAACAGTGTTTCGGATGGCGTACAATAGAAATAAGCCTACAAGCCAAAACCTTCAAAACCTTAGGATGTTTAGCAACTTTTATTAGAAAATATTCGCTTCGCCTGGTACAATCTGCCAAAACAGCCTCTGGGAACCGTCGCCCAAGAGAACCCCACGGAGCTCCAAGAGGCCCAACGAGGCTCCAAGAACGTTCAAATATTGTCCAAAAGGCCCCAGTACTATTCCCCAAGCGGGCTGCAGGGGTCTCCCAGAAGCCCCAAATAGGGGAGGCGGTGGTGATTCGCCGTAGGCGTCTTCGATCTACAAAGAGACTATTAACCTGTGCGCTGACTGTACGTGGAAAACTTGTTTTCCAAAATGAATTAAATGGAAACGTGCGAATGATACGAAATCGTGTTACGATTTCTCCTATCCGCCTCCTCCTCCTCCTCCTCCTCCTCATCATCATCCTCCTCCTCCTCCTCCTCCTCCTCCTCATGGTCATCCTCCTACTTCTCCTGCTAATCCTCCTGCTGCTCCTCATCCTACTCCTTATATGTTCCTCCTACGCCTACTCCTCCTCCTCCTACTCGTCCTACTCATCATCCTACTATTCCTCCTGCTCCTCCTGCTCCTCCTCCTCCTCCTGCACAACTTGTAGTTGAAAATATGCGTTTCGCCTGGGGCAATCTGCCAAAACAGCCTCTGGGAACCTTCGCCCAAGAGAACCCCACGGAGCTCCAAGATGCCCAAAGAGGCTCCAAGAAGGCAATATTGTCCAAAAGGCCCCAGTACTATTCCCCAAGCGGGCTCCAGGGGTCTCCCAGAGGCCCCAAATGGGGGAGGCGGTGGTGATTCGCCGTAGGCGTCTTCGATTTACAAAGAGAATCTTAACCCTTGCGCTGACTGTACGTGGAAACCGTCTTTTCCACAATGAATCACATGGAAACGTGCGAATGATACGAAATCGTGTTACGACTTCTCCTCTCCGCCTCCTCCTCCTCCT